AAGTGCTGAATGTTCGACACGTACAGGTGTTCAGGTCAAAAATGAGCGGCCTTCTTGTAAATCTCTTGTTATCACCAAATCTCGGATTCAATCTTTTTGATTGATCACAGGTCTCACTGATCTGAGCTCAGTTTTTGAGAAAAAGCATTTGAAGACAAAACAATAGTTTAATTTTGAAATGACAGTTTATTATTTTTACACGTTCAGCTTAAACATAAAGAAAGTAATGTGCAAACTCTCATCTACATCTTGGATGATCTGAGGATGAGCCGCTGAACAAAGTCATTATTGAACCATTTGCAGTTGTCTTACTGTACGAATTAAAAACAATAAAACAACAGTTACATAAACAGTGAACGTACAGGGTGAATTAACGTATAAAGCATAAATCTGTATGCATTATTAATCACATCAGCTGATGTGTTCCACCTTCCCATTTTCTCATAACATGTGATGTTACTTTAAGAACATCACAGAGTGACATCTGAAGTGAAATGCCTCTGATCTGACTCGCTTTCTGTCTCTGCGTCTCGTTTTCAGATGTTCTCTTGGGTTTTATGGCGAGGAATCAGAGCATTGAACAGCTGTGTTTTTATTAATTAACATTAAGAAAGATGCATAATGTAACAAATGCATTGCTCAGTTGTTGGCTAATGCATTACGTACTGTTAATGTAAACTGTGAGTGTCTTTGCTGTAGTGAGCAGAGATCAGAGATCATACTCCAGTGAGTGCGCTCTCTCAGCAGCGCTGGCGTGTGAATGAATGAATCAGTTTCCAGAGTCTGTTCAAAGAAACACAGTTTTGAGTCCAGTGCTTGAGTTATAATGGGACAAGCAGCTCAGTAATCCTGCTTTAATGCTGCTGCTTCTGTCTGTAATTAAAGAGTGATTTATGATCAGCTGCTAGAGATGATATAATAAACTGCACACACATTACTCTGAATCCTAAACACACATGCAACAATATAACGCATGAAACGAGCGCAGCAGAAGAGGACTGCAGATGTTTGCGCCGCGGGGTTTGTGAGTTGTGAATGATGTCAGACAGCGTTCGGTACACGTGTACAATGATTTATGAGTGTTTGAACATCTGCAGGAGTTTATTCATAGTTATGATGCTGTTGAAGTCACGGCAGGACAGCAGATTAAACAGTTCAGTCGTTTTCACATTTACGTTTGTCATTGTTTTGTGCTGTACGGATTATTATTGAGGAGCTGTGAAGAATAAAGCTCAACAAAAGCTCAGCAGCTGTTGCTGCTCAAGTTGTTTTTAAAGCTGCTGTATGTAATTACTTTGACTGTGACAAAGCAAAAAATACTGTGATATGTTTGAAGATGTTTAGGAAACATGCTAAGTTCACATGTTTCTTTCTATGAAAAACAATGCTGCAGCCAATTATTCTGCTTTGAAATGTGCGTTCTGTGTCAGAATGTCTGTTTTTGTTTTGGTATGTGTGACTCCGCCCACTGACAATTTACCCAATAGTATTTCAACACACTGAGTTGCCAGTTGGCGGAAAAGGCAGTGAATTGCAGTCATAGATGCCAGTGAACGTATTGGGTCAGAGATCACAGATTCTACCCGACCTAGAAAGCCTCGCCATCCATCTAAAGAGCTCTATAAAAAGTGGATAAATCAACTCAACGACTTACAGTGTAAGACTGGTTGCCTTTTATTGTCAGTTGCACTCATTCCTGTCGGGTTTCCTCAATCTGGCAACCCGCTTGAGCATCGAGTCTAAGGGTGCGTTCACACTCGTCATGTTTGGTTCGATTAAAACGAACCCTGGTGTGATTGCTCTGTTAGTGCAGTTCGTTTGAGTAAGTGTGAACGCTGCCATGTGTGTGTGTGTGTGTGTGTATGAGTGAGTGTGTGTGTTAGCGGAAACATCTCTGCGGGCGTGATTAGGCCTGTCACGATAACAACTTTTTGGTGTGCGATATATTGCCCCAGAAATAATTGTGATAAGCGATATTATTGTCATTTTAAAGACCATTTTATGCCACTGAATATATAATCATAATGTAACAGCATAATATATCACTATGCCTTTAGGTTCGCTGTCAAAAATGCCAATGTGAACACTAAGCGGACCAGAACCAAATGTATCATTTTCCTTTTTGGTCCTGACCAAATGAACCAAACGAACCCAACTACAAGTGTGAACACACCCTAAAAAAGAGGAGCAGGAGAAAGGACTCTCCAATATTATGCATTTAGACTGCAGTACCGATTTCAACCACTAGCTGTCTGTATTGCATACTGCACTTTTAGTAATCTTTAAAGGTGACATATCATGAAAATCTGACTTTTCCAGGTTTTAACAAGACCATATCTTCAGATGAAACTTTGTTTGTAGAAGCATTTTTTTAAATGTGAACTAGCACCTCATGACTAAGTTACACCGCGTTATGTATGAGAAGCTGCAAAAGACACAGGCGCAAGTGGAATGTACAAAACAT